AATATATATTAAAGGGAAGAGATAAGGCAAGTTTTTTTTTTTTTCATGATTCCCCCCTGCAGGGATGTCAAGTAACTCAAGAAACACCTCTTGTTGGTGCACAGTCCTTAACGACAACTTCTGATGAAGCTCCAGGTGTCTGCTTGGAAGTCTCAATTCAGAGCTTTCTTCCTCAGAAGGGATACAGATGAGCTTCCTCAGCCTCACATCTTGCAGTCTGGATCCAAGCCTTCAGACTTGGTTTCAGAATTGCTCAAGAGAAAACGCAAAGCACCTCTTCTCCCATTGTGAATGTCCCTGCATCTTTTGCAGGCCTGTTTGGGAAGCTCCTCCCAGCTGTCCCCAAATGTTTCTGTGTGTGCACCCATTTCGCAGTGACACCATTCTTTGGGCCAGGCAGCTGGGGAAAGCAAAACAGCTGCGTTAACAGTCCGAAAAGAGACTCCAACCTCTTTCAGAGGGTGAACACAGCCCTAATGTAGATGCACCATGTTGGCTTGTCACAGAGGTTTCCTGTGCCAAATAGCTGCAGGGGGTTGTGACCCAGTGTGTGTCAGGTAATGGCAGTCAGGACTGCTTGGCAAAGAGCAGTTGCGACTGTGCATAACTGGAGAGGTGTGCCCTGCCCCCATGGGGAACAGTGGTTCATAAGGTGGACACCTCTGCACAATGGATACCAGACTGTGTACCTCTTAGGGCTAAACTTGGAAAGAGCACTTCCTAGAAATCTGCCCTGTGGAAGACTCACTAAAAGGTGTTGTGTGGCTCCTTCTGAGAGACAGAATAGATGGGATCTATTGATTGGATTTGTGTGATGTGCTAAATCATTGCTCGTTGAATGAGCTGTTGTAGACTCAGAGACCCTGGCCTAACTTGATAAAAACTGTAACTCACGTGCTAAAACTGCACTGTCTGGGTTCGTGAAACATTCTGAGCCAAATTCAGCAGCTAAAATGATCCCTCTTACTGGTGAATTCGCCATCATTTTTTAATAGCAGAAAACCCAGTGGGCTTTTTTTTTTTTTAGTCAGCAGTAGATGTTCCTTTAGCATCAATTTAGTAATTTAATTAAATTTAAATTGCCTCATACCAGATTTAGCTTTTGTCCTGGCCCCACCTATCTTTAGAGATTGGCCCACAGTACATGGGCAAAAGCTAATGAAATGAAATAATCATAAATGTATAATTATGTTGCAGGACTTGGAAATGCAATTAAAGGAAGCACAACAGGTGACTATGGAGTCTCAAAGTATTAGTAAAACATTGGAGGAGGAGCTGGTTATTGCAAAAGAAAAACTTCTGTTACAAGAAAAAGAATTAATGCATAAAAGAGGTAAGAGCTTATGCCATGCAATTTTGGGGAGGTTACTGCGAGCTGGGAGTTCTGCTCCAAATTTTACTTCAACCGTGAAGACAACAAATAGTTTTATGCAGGCCACTGTGCTCACAACTTATGACCAGTCTTCATCAGAGGACACTAATAATGGCCGTTGTCACAACACTGAGACAATGACAATGAAGTTCTTTCAACATCTGTAATGTATTATTCAATTTCTTAATTGCATGCTTGGAAATGCACTTGTGGATTTTGCAGAAGCGATGCAGGTAGCACCGAACTCCCGCAGCAAAGCTAGGAGTCAAGTGGATGGACTGAAGGATCGGAACTTGCACCCTCAGCGGGCATTGCCCATCAGACACAGTCAAGGCAGCCAAGGTGGTGGAGCCTCTCAGGTGAATTTCTCTTCTTTCTATGGGTAAAGTCCACCTGATGATTTGATCTAATTTGTAAAAGTGAACAGTGTAATATCTTCCATACCTGATCTGTACTTTTACATACACACAGAGAGGCAGAAGGGGAAGGTCCTACCAATTCGCTATTTACAAATAGTAATAGGGATGCAAAACCATGGTGCGTTTAGACCAAATGTCTTGTAAGGAATGCCCCGTTCGTCAAGAGAAACTCCCGTGACACGTGTGTAGCACAAAGAGGTTTACTCAAGCGTAACGCAACAGTTACAAACAAAGCCAGGACTGACTTGACACATTTCTTGTTACAATTTATAGCTCTCCCCTTCCCGTGCTTCGCCCCGTCGTCAAGTTACATGTCAAGTTACATGTTGCGGCTTGTCGGTACCCCAATAATCCCCCTTAATGGTCCAAATAGCAGGTTCAGCCAGTTTCCCATTCCCCTTTGTCTCGGCGCACACCGCTCATCAGAGTGGATACAAAGCATCCACTCTGTGATTTCCTTGTTAAGTGGGCGCAGGTGGCCCATTAATCAGCCAGGTTCTCACTTCCTCTTTTTGGGAGAGGGCGGTAGAATTGGCTCAGCGTGGCTGGCCAGGTTTCCTAGCAGTGCTGTGCGGGCTGAACCTGACATGTCTATCCTGCTGGCTGCAAAGCGGGAGCTAGTGTCCTATCCTTTACCATGATTTTCTGGCCAAGTTCCAAGATACATTCAGCAGTATCCAAAGTTACATAGTTTGCAATGCGGTCCTCCAAACAGAAGGCAGATAAAGAATTGCATATTCTAGTGTTCCTTCTTTTGGTAAACAATAATCCCAAATGACGATATCATTGGAGGATATCCAAACAATAAATAATCGATATTCTAGAGCTGGGATAGACAGTCCCACAAGAGTCATCTGCTAGGAGCTGCATCATCTACCAGTGATGGGAAAAGTTAGAGCCAAAAACATTCAGAGCCACTATTTTCCTACCTATCTCACTGGTTCTCAACTTGGGCAACTTTCAGATGGATGGACTTCATCCCACAGAATTCCCCTACCAGTGTCTTGCTGAGGCTTCTGGGAATTGAAGTCTACCCATCTGGAAGTTACCCAGGTTGGAAACGTTGAGCCTAACCCTTTCCCTGTTTTTCTTCTTTCTGGCTGCTTAAGCTCTACTCGGCAAGGGAAGGTACAGATCCCTTTTGCCAGAATTCTGAATTGCTTGCTTGCAGACAGCTTTTGAAATTAGGTTGGGGTATATATGAATTTAAGTCGTGTATGACAGGTGAACTAGTGAGGTGGCTGTGTTATTAACATCCCTTTGCCTATTATTTTCTTTCTCTGTTTTTAGTTTTTAATGTTTTTAATAATGGTTTTATGTAATGGTTATTGTATGTAGTTATTGTTTTATTGGATTGTTACATGGCACCCAGAGCCACTTTTTGTGAGATGAGTGGCTATATAAATTTAACAAACAAACAAATCAATCAATCAATAAACTCAAGACAATATGGGCAGAGTTTATCTACCCCTCCAGAGATGCAACCAATAGACATCCTTGGGCACAACTGACTAGTGTGAAAGAAGCAGTCATGTCACAATTGTTTTTGCCATGCTGGAAAGTTGAAGTGGGGCTATCACTAGTAGGTGCATAAACAGCTTCTGATCCCTGGAGTTGTGAGCTAGTACACACTGGTACATCCTTCTTACCAGCTGCATTGACAACGTCAAACAGCGGCAGATAGCGGGCTGTTTGCACCTGGCCACTTCCCAGTTGTGTTGACTAGAGTTCTGAGCCACCCAAGCTAGGTATCATAGTGGCAGGGAACCCAACATACCTGGAAGATGCTAAGTTGGAGAAGGCGGTTTGGTGCCTTACAAAGCAAAGAAGTGTAGCTAATCTGTGGCTGATGAGATTCACGTCATTGTGATTATAGCTGTTGCATCTTACTTTTGATACCAATTTTTTGGAGCATCAGCCTCTAACTCAGCCCACATCGGTAAATTTTGTGTGACTTCAGCAACTGAATGAATCCTTTAGGCTTTGGGTGGTAGAGGAGGGACAGATTGGTTGAAGAAGCTGTTGTTGTAGGTGTAACTCAGGGAAATGATGTGTTTGGATCTAGAAACTATTAATCAGGAGCATAAAGAAGAGATTTGCTGATTTGAACATGAATCAAAGTAGGAGAAAATTCATTTAAAACTACAGCTTTTGAAAGACCTTGAGAAGAATCATGCCCTTGAAATCAAATTAAGCAAAGCCTCCACAGATGTGGAGAGGGAAAAAAATGCAGAAGATGGGATTTTTTCCCTATTAATTGGCCCTCTGATTCATGAATTCCTTTAAATCTTTTTGGCCATGGTGACATCTTTGAAATTATTCTTGCTGGAGTGGAAGCTTTAAATCACAACAAGGAATTCAGCACTACTGTGATTTTCTTTTTCTTAAATGAGCTGGGAAGGAAGGTAGGAAGCAAGCAAGCTATATTCCTGCACTGCACACAACACTGTGATTAATGCAAGAATTGCCCTGAAGAGGAATACAGACTGTAGAAGTGTGTGGTTTCATTTCTTGCCTTATTTGTTTACTGCTCAAATGGAATAGTTATAACATTTTTTGTTGGCAGTTCAAGAGGAAACTTATGTTTGAAGTGAATAAAGAGTAGACAGCAATCAGTGCTGACTCTGGACATTTTGATTTAAAGCGTCCTCCACCTTTGCATTGGCAGAAAGCTAAACTGGCATTAGATTTGCTGTCCCCAGTGCTAGTCCTCTTCCTGTCTTTGTTCCAGTTCCTGCTGGTTCCCTGACTTCCCTCCACAGTGATGGGTGACAAAGCCAAACAGATTTGATAAACCTTGGATTCATGGAACTCATGGGGATATTCATGGAAGTCCTGGAGATCGTTGGCTATTATCCTTGATGGCAGCATGACTGCTTCTGAAGGCCATCTGCTGACTGACTAGTGGACTTTCTTGTACAGTTGGTTGACCCCTGGGAGAACAGACTGCTGGATGAGATGGGCCAGGGGCCTGATTCAACAGGGCACTGCTTATGTTCTTAGGGCATCCAAATAAGGAAGAAAAATACTACTCAGACTCCAGTTCAGCCAAGGATGACTTGCCTCACTTGTGGTCTGGAGCTGGAGATGAGATGAAGGCAGTTTTGTGGGGAGTTGGCAGAAAAAGGAGGCAATTCTTGTTCTTATTCCATGGTTAGGTGCAAGCAGGGAAAGCCCCATACACATGAATGGGATGAAGGACTCTCAACCCAGCACAAACAGGAAGAGAGGCTTGATAGAATTTGGCCATTAAAAAACATTAAATCCAGGGGCAGTGCATATAAAAATTGGGTGGGACTGTGATTAGGCAGAGGTAGTCATCAGGTTGGGTTTTTTGACCCTCGTCCCCCACTTTGCAGACACCCCATGCAGGGACACATTTCTACAGGTAGTCTTTGCTTAACAACCATTCATTTAGTGACCGTTCAAAGTTACAATGACACTAAAAAGTGACTTACGACCAGTGCTTGAAGTTATAACGTCTCAGTGCCCCCGCAATCACATGATCGTGGTCTGGGCACTTGACAACCAGCTCGCATTTACAATGGTTGCAGTGTCCTGGGGTCACATGATTGCCATTTGCGACCTTCCCAGCTGGCCCCCAGCAAGCAAAGTCAGTGGGGAAACCGCATGATTCACTTAATGACCACAGTGATTTGCTTAATGACCACAGTGATTCTCTTAACAACCGCCACAAGAAGGTCATAAAATCGGGTCTGGTCACATGATGATTCGCTTAACAACTGCATCACTTAGTGACCTAAACTCTAGTCCCAATTGTGGTTGTTAAGTGAGGACTATCAGTATACATATCTTTCTGTAGATACCCTTTCCCATAGTTAACATTATATGTACTGTAGCATCCTGATGAGTTGGGGAAAGGTAGCATCTTAATGAGGGAGTTAAATTCTGAAGAGATTTGAGTACAGCAAGCAACTTCTCCACAGGGCAAAAAATATCAGAGGATTAGGACAGTAAATTAGGATCAAATAGTTACACGATCCTGCTTTTCTAGTAAGAGAGATACCATTTGCACTGGGTATATCACTCCTTTTCTTACAACATTGCTTGTTTCAGTTTTCCTCAACTAGATTAAATCTAAAGTTCCCCATTATCAGTCATCTTCCCCTCCTGGGAATAATATCCATCTTTTGCATTGCCTCCATTCTGTATTGAGTTTCTCGCTGGGCACTTCTGAATCATCCTCAGTGGTTCCGCTTTAAAATTTATAGCTCACCCTGGGGACAAAGAATTTGAAATTGGCACTTTCTCACACTCTGTTCACAGTCTTTCAAGATCAGGATGAACCGTATTTTAATCAGTGAGTTAGACTAATTAGGAGGGATAAGCTGCAAATACAGATACCCTAAGGCAAAATGTAGAAGGTGAACATTCAGGGTTTTCTGCACTATAGGTGAACATACAATCTGTAGATCAGCACTGGATTCTGTGAGATATGTGCATTGTCCTTCATCTCAGTAACTGATTTATTGACCAATGTTGTTTTTGCTGTTATTATTAATATTATTATTATCATCATCTTCATCATCATCAGTTTTGGTAATCATACGTATGTATGGTTGTAAGCAAGCGCAGAAATTTGTCTGCGGAAGTAAGAAGAAGGCTTGATCTTAGCCAAAAGGCCAAGAAGAAGGCATATATGTCTGCCATGAGGGTGCAGTGGGTCTTTTCTAAGAGAAATTGGGGGTGGGATTCAATATGTCTGCCTCCCTCCTTTAACGGCTTTGAAAACCCGAAGCAGCCATCAAATCTTACCACAGGACATGTCTCCCTCAGCTGCAGTCAGTCTCCTTTTCCTTCAGCCAAGATTTTGAAAGAGAGATGTAACTCCCAGGCTCTAATTCAAATCAAATTTTATTTACACTCTTGGAGCAAAACAAAATATAAAATAGCAATACAGTTAAAAAATGAAATTGCAGGGCAGCAGTAAAATTTAGCCACCCCTAATTAGTGTGCAGAGACCCAGTTTGGTATAGTGGTCAGTGTCACTGAGCTAGAAACCAGGAGACCATGAGTTCTAGTCCCATCTTGGGCACAAAGCCAACTGGGTGACCTTAGGCCAGTCACTTTCTCTCAGACTTAGGAAGAAGAAGGCAAGGGTAAGCCACTCCTCAAAATGTGGCCAAGAAAACTACAGGGATCTGTCCAGCAGACACCAGGAATTAAGACTGATTTGAAGGCACCCCCCCCCCAAAAAAAACCACCACTTGATATACAACTTAACTACTTGCTTGCAAGTTTTGCTCTCTCATAATGCAAATTTAGTCACAATGTATGTTATTTTCAGGTCTCTATTTAGTATGAGGAAGGTGGATGGACTCAGCTACAGTGGCAATGGGCCGCCAGTAGAAGACCTGAAAGACCAGGTTAGGGATAGATCATGGAGAAAATCTATCTATGTGGTCACTAGGAATCAAAAATGACTTGATGGCACATAATCAATCAATGATTTATTAAGAGATGCTGAACATAAAATTCATCAGGATGTCCAAGGAATGTCTTAAGTTGAGGCTTCAGTAGAAAGCTTCTAAGATCTCTGAATATATACCAGGATGTGGGTCAAGGATTCAACAGCCCTGAACCACACAGACAAATACTTTCTGAATGGGTGATCTTCCTAATCTGTCTTGGAGACTAGCTCTTGGTAGAATGCTAAATTGCAATCATGAAATGTTCTGTGATATTTACAAGTCATCAACTGGTTTAAATATCTTGCTGGTTGGAAAGAACATGTATAAATTCTTAATATGGTCCTTAGAGATAACTTATCCTGCTCAACTCACACCTCCACTTCAAGGATCCTTTTCTCTTAAGAATTAGCATATTCTCATTTTGTCCCAGGGCCACTAATACCTCAGGGGAGAATCCATCCTGTTGCTGCTTATCTTCAGTTTCTGCCTCCAGGTGGAATGAAAGTTAGCCACCAACATAAGCAGAGCTAAACCAAATCAAAATGCTAGCTTTAGCCAGGATCTGAAGATGTTCACTCCTATCCTAATGTCTACTCAGATAAGTCCTCCTGTTCTCCGGAGTACAATATCTGACCCACTATGGAGCACCTGAAACAATTTCCCTAAAAAACAGATTGAACCCTCTCCAATTTAGGGGAGTTGATTCCAGGGCCTAGTTTAACCTCATAAAGAAATTGTGCCAATACTTTGGCTCAAAATGTAACGCTGCTGAAATGCTTTCTGCTCCTCTGGCATGGAGAGGACTTGAACGGTAGCTGCTTGGGCTGAGTCACTACTTTGAGGAGTTGATTCAGATGGCTTTTAAAGCAGCTACCACTTCCATTTTTCACATTCTCATGGAAGCTTGAAAAAAAGCAGGCTGTTTAATGAATAACAGAGAGGTGCTGTGCTATAGCAGGGTCTCCCTTGTACTTTCACTTTGGAAGAAGGGAAGAATATATCCCTGAAGAAATGCTAATTGTACACTGAGCACTTTTGAGAATCCCTTGCAGATCAAAAATTGGGAGATGGGCATAGAGCTGCTTTTTAACGAGATGGGCGGTGACAAATTTGATAAATAAAATAGCCAGCCACATTAGATGTTGGGTTTGGAACCAGGCCATACATCTCCGCTTCTCCCAAAGTCTGGCCTTTTAAACAGAGAGGCTTCTTCTTCTGGCATGCAACCTGGCAGTGCCTGTTATAATTAGGTGGCTTCCGATTTGGGACTCAGTGCGAGGTTGGTACTTTCTCTTCACTGAACGATTGTCCCAAGCTTGTTGATCAGCACAATCTTATTCATAATGGGACATAAATCCCACTCTTCATTCCGGAGAAGGCATGTGGTTCTTGCAGACATTTTCTTTGACAGCTACCGAGATCTCAAACCTATCAGACTTTATGATTTTTCAGACCATTACCACATTACCTCCATTTCCAAGAGTGGCACAACACTTGGCACACTTAGAAAACCAACCTGTGAGCAGTTTGCAGCCTCTCATTAAATGCCAAATGCCTAGCTTTCCCCCAAAGCAGGTGGGGAACATTTCACCTGATAATGTCTGGGGCAGCTGATTCTGTTAAA